CTTTACTCCTTTTTGCGGATTTTGCCCATTATTTTCCTACTCTTTGTTTTATATATATAATATCACATGTGCTTTTATATCGCAAAGAAACACTCAATTCACCGAGAATTAGACATTTCCATGCCCCAGGACTACCACGGAGAGCTGTATCAGATGATTTGGCAAAACAAAAGCCTTTTCTTTAAATGCAAAGTGCCTTTTCGTTCGCGAACTCTTCAGAACCGCCTACCTCGTCGTTTCTTGCGGCGCAAAAATAATGAGAACAGAACTCCATGTGTCTTTTCTAAAAAGGAGTTAGTTGCCAGGTTTGAGTGTATTTCTTGTACGGATAATAAAGTATTCAAATGCTCGTTTTTGAGACCACATCGTATGGCTTAGTTTCACCGACAGAGATTCGTCTCAATGACAAACATGAACTGTTTTGGGACTATGAAGAGGATTATACAATATTGTTAAGAGTTTTGAATATGAAAAACAATCATATCAACGTAGGTTTCTGTAATAGAGGATATTTAAACATCTTGGACAGTTCGCTGATTTTTTTTAAACAAATTGAGATACTGAGGTAAGCTTTAGGAAGTACAATTATATTATCAAAATTCACATTGGCATTTTCTTCAAAAGCATAAACTTCAATTGCGTTCATGCCAATAAGCCTCAATGTTTATCGAAACTGAGTTCGCCTCTGGCTATCTTAAAGTCAAATTGATTCTACTTGAAAATTGACACTTGGAACGTCTCGTTTAGATGTATTGTTGCTAAAGTAAACATTCATTTATTTATCAATGTGTTATTAAAAAATAGTAATCAAGGCTTTTCACGGCAACTGGAGAGGAGGTATTCTCGAAAATTTTTGTAAATGAGGTATTATGTGTTTTGGATAATATATGGGGTTGTCCAAAACGGATGCAACAAAGTAAACGCATATTAAAACAAGAAAGATTGATATTCAAATCAAGTTGGGTACTTTATTTTGAAGGTTCAATTATACCATTCATGTATGAAAAATAATATCGCTCAAATGTTCACCACGACTGGATTTACAGACGTCCACGCGATGGTCGAAATTTTCAATGACATTTTGCAACATGGTCGGTTCTAAGGCATTTATCTCGGCAATGATGTTGTTTTTGAGTTCTTGGAGGGTGGCTGGTTTGTTGACGTAGACTTTGCTTTTCAAATATCCCCATAAAAAGAAGTCCAAGGGAGTCAAATCGCACGATCTTGGTGGCCATGGCACATTTCCTCTGCGCGAAATCACGCGATCACCGAAGAAGGACTGCAATCGATGGATATTGACGTTGGTTGTGTGGCATGTTGCACCGTGTTGTTGGAAATAAACATCGTCCATATCCATTCCTTCAAGTTGCGGCAAAAAATAGTCCTCTATCATCACGAGATATCACTCAGAATTGACGGTAACGGCGTCCCCGGCCGCATTTTCGAAAAAGTAAGGTCCGATGATGCCTTTTGATCACAATGCACACCACACAGTCACTTTTTGAGGATGCATCGGCTGCTCTTGATACTCACGGGGATTTTCGTTCGCCCAGATGCGGCAGTTTTGCTTGTTTACCGTCCCATTCAAAGTGAAATGCGCTTCGTCGCTGAACATGATTTTTGATGAAAAATTGGCATCAATCTGGTGGTGTTCAAGGAGCCAATCTGAGAACGTTTGGCGCGAAAAATGGTCGGCCCGACGCAGCTCTTGCGTCAATTGGATCTTGTAGGCGTGTACATTCAAATCCTTGTGGAGAATGCGGAGCAAACTGGTTCTCGAAATGCCCAATTCTTGGGATCGAAGCGTTGTTGATTGTTTCGGATCGTCTCTCACACTCTCCTTCACAACAGCAATATTTTCCGGTGTGCGAACGCTCTTTGGCCGGCCAGAGCCTGGCAGATTTACCACAGAACCTGTTGCCTCGAATTTACGCACCAGACGAGCGATGGTTGTTTCGTTTCGGCGGTTGTTGCGACCGAAATGTGCACGAAGCGCGCGAAACGTGTTTTTTATTTTTGCACCATTTTTGTAGTGCTCTTGAATAACTTTAATGCGGTCTTCAATCGAATACGACTCCATAGCGATCAATGGTAAACATTCAACTAACAAAATGACATGTCGGTGACAGAAAACAAAGATGGCGTCTATGTCAAATTGACGTTTACTTTCCTGCATCCCTATTGGACAGTCTGCGAAAACCAAAAATTTGCTAACTTTGGTCTGTAAAACAACGGTGAAATCGCTTTAAAATAAACCAATATCAAAATGATCTTGTAAGCCAGATCAACTCGTTTAAACATTTTTTAAATAAATTACAATTTGTTGTCGGGGTAGATTTTTTCAGTTGTTTTTATCATTCCCAACAAAAAGGCTGTATTCAATGCTTGCTCGAAGTTAAGAATTATAATTTCTCGTCAAGTACCCCTGAAGTTTTGATGATATTTTGACGTAAGGGCAAAAAACGAAAAAGAAACTTCGTTTTATGAGATTTCAGAAGCTTCCTCCATGTGAATGGACTGGGGCGACGTCTTGGTTTATGTTGGTTGGGGATGTCAGGAATAGGGAGTCAGTCGGTTGAGATGTTAGTAGCATCATGTCTAAGCAAGATCAGAATTTTTTTTTCGCGGGAGGGCATAAATCTTTAGACGCAAATGAACCGGTCGACGTGGTTTTTCTGGATTTTTCCAGAGCTTTCGATCGAGTTCCGCATAAAAGGCTCCTGCACAAGCTTGAACATCTCGGAATCAGGCGAAATTTGTTGTTATGGATTGAAGCTTTTTTGTTAGACAGATCTTTCTCCGTCCGTGTTGGAGACGCCTATTCTTCTAGTCATCGTGTTACTAGTGGAGTTCCACAAGGATCTGTGCTAGGGCCAATACTTTTTCTTCTTTATACAAGCGACCTTCCCACCCGACTTTATTCTATGTGTTCCATCTATGCAGATGATACTAAAGTCTATAACACTGCCATGAACTCACCTGTGCTTCAAGAAGACCTCAAGCTGATCAGAACTTTGGCTCCTGCCTTTAAATCTCTCGAAATGCTACGTTCTCCACCTGGGAAAGAATAATCCTAACTTAACATATAAGATTGGCAAACATACCTTACAGACTGTTCTTCATCACACAGATCTTGGTCTGACAGTTAATGGCCGGCTCACCTGGTCGGAGCACATTCAGAACATAACCTCTAAGGCAAAGCGGTTGCTATATATGATGGAAAGGTCATTCAGCGGTTGCACCGTTAGTACCTCCTCCTTTTTGTACACAATTTTCGTACGACCCCTACTGGAGTTTGCTGGTCCGGTATGGGATTCAAACCTTGTTCGCGATAGCAGCTTATTAGAGGCCGTTCAGAGTCGTGCTACACGTATGCCATATGGCACACGTAGGCCAAGTTATGAAGACCGCCTCGAGCTATATAACCTGCCTGCTTTTGCTGATAGAAGAGTACGAGGAGATCTCATCATCACTTTCAGAGCACTGCATAATTTGTTTGGTGTGGACATGTCGCATCTGTTTCGTCTGGCAACGAACAGTCTCAGAGGCCATAACTTCAAATTGCAGAAGGAAGCTTTTAGAACCTCTACTCGTCAGCGCTTTATCTCAAACCGTGTCTTCGATGCATGGAACAGTCTTCCATCTTATGTAGTGAACTCGGAATCCGTCAACAGTTTCAAGAATTACGATAGACACCGCAGTGCTTAACATATTGTTCCCATTCTGTATATGTCTACTTCAGAAGTGCTAAGATTGTCAAATTGTTATATTTCTTTTGTCTGTACACTATTATCTATTTTTGTGTTTGAGTTTATAGTACTTGTACTCAACTCAAATTTGTTGTTTAATAATAATAATAATAAAATCCTTCCGATATTTTGCGTCAACTAACAGCACGACTGGCAAAAAAATCCATGGAGTGGCGAAGAGGCAGCATCACGAATAGCCAAGTCTAGTCTTTCTACAGGAAAAGTTCTTGCAACGGTATTTTGGGATTTCCAGATGTGGTGCTTAGTACTGCCACTTGAATACTTTCCTTACAGTCCCGATTTGTCGCCATGTGACTGTCACAATTTTGGGCCACTTAAAGAAGACCTTGGAGATCACGACTTTGACGACGACGATGTTGTGGAAACGTTCGTCCACAACTGGCTACTGACACGGCCAGCTTCATTCTTTGATGGGGGAGTTAAAAAACTTACGATCCGATGGGAAAAATGCATCAACAGAGAAATGTAGAAAGATAAGATGTAAATAAACTTGTATTTACTATACCAATACAATTATTAAAACAAAAGTCATTTGATTCACCGTATAATCTTTTCAATACCCATGTCGAGCGCAAGGAAACCTGTCGCGAACTGGCCGCTGCCGTTGACGAGGGTGCGATTCTGTAATACACGTTTGTATTGCTGTCGCAGACATTGTTGGTCAGCGCTTGAAAAATGTCTTCCTATTCATGTTTCTGCTTAACGATAATTCAAACTGTTCAATAAGCAATATGCGGTAATATCAGATATTATGTATACCACATGTTGTGTACATCAAATTCATTCCGTCGTCACTCGACCCTGTGCATAATATTAGTCAATTACCCAGCCCAGGAATTGATATGCAACATGGCAAAACCGCACTACGCAAAACTAAAATTGTTTATTACCCTAATAGACAATTCATCCGGCTCATATACTAAGTGACATATAAATCCGAACACCCAGTTTAAATGGTTTTATTTTAATAAAATTTTGTATAAGTACTTAATGTAGCATAATAAGTGAATGATAAACATTTCAAAATGATTGCACTGCTTTAACCCTTTGACGCCTACTGGTTTCACGACGAAACCACCTGAATAAGAATTAATTTCTAATCGCCGAATGGTCTTGGTGAGTAACCTCATATAGTCACGTGCCCTTGAGACTCCATCTGATAGGCTTTGACAGTTGCGTCGGTTGTATTTGGTTTTCTAGCCTAATGATAACGTTCAGTGTGCGTTGTTGCAGCAAACAGGTGGTTGATCAAATTAAATAGGGGATTTTTCGCTGTTAGATAAACAATGGGAGGTAAGTAAATAGATGATTTATATGATATGATGTTGATCATGATGGTAAAATATTTGGGGATGGAATTTGACCAAATTTAGCTCATATTTTTATACAAAAATACCTTCGGTTACATTATGAAACCAGTAGGCATGCCGTGTTTTTTTTTTAGATCAGAACAAGAAATATTATTTTGCCGACTTAGAAAAGATGAGTTCAGATGAACACATGAATGAAGATGTGCAGGATATTGCTTGTCCTCGTTTAGTTTTGGAGTATAATAAGCACATGGGTTATGTAGATAAACTAGACATGTTGAAGTCAATTTATGAATTAGATCGAAAATCTAAAAAGTAGTGGCTGCGCATTTTTTGGTATTTACTTGACATATCCCTAGTGAATGCATACATAATTTTCAAGAACCGAAATACTACGACTAAGTCCGGCAAATGTATGACATTGAAGGATTTCAAGCTAGCAGTATGCTTGGGACTTATTGGAGCAGACGAAAATATTCCAAAGAAAGGATATCATCAGTGCAACAAAATACCATCAAATCCAATGTGCCTCAGGAAATTCGATATGATTCTTGTGCACACATGCCAATCCATGGAAGTTCAAGAAGATGTGCTTATTGCAGCTCTACATCATCACCACACCGGACGAAATGGATTTGTACCAGGTAAAGAAAGTAATGCTTCATCTTCTTTTTAGTTTTAGCAAAAACTTTTTTTTTCAGATGCAACGTTGGATTATTCCTCAACGCAAATAAAAATTGTTTCCTTCCGTATCACAGACGATAAATGGAAAATATAGGATTTGTCTTCTTTTATTACTTGAAATAAAATTTTGTTTAAAAAATCATTAGTTCCTTTTACTACCTAGTGGTTTCATAATGAAACCATATTCTAAAGCATTTCAGGATTAAAAAAAATAAATAAAATGTGTAAAGTTATAACATATTGTTCACATTTACCCATATTAAAAGAAAAAGATTCGCAAATTCGAAAAAAAATTAAATCCGGCGTCAAAGGGTTAAAGCCCTTTGACCTTTGATCATGTGTGGATGCACCCTGATGTGCTACGCATTCTCCAACGTGCCTAGGCATGCTTCTGATCAGGTGGTCAATGTCCTCCTGTGGTATCTCAATCCAGGCAACCACCAACTCCTCTCGAAGTGCTTCTAGAGTCTGAGGAGGACGTTGCAAATTGAGCAATCTCCTACTCATCATATCCCACTCGTGCTCAATTGGGGATAAGTCGGGAGATCTTGGTGGCCATGTTAACAATGTGATATCATTATGTTGAAAGAAGTCTATTGTGACTCTTGCAACATGTGGTCGGGCATTATCTTGTTGGAAAGTTGGATCTGCCAGGGTGTCAAGATAGGGTAAAAGATGGGGTTCTAGAACTTCGTGGATATAACGCTGCGCGTTCATGTTACCTCTGATGAAGATTAAAGGTGACCTGGAACCATAAGCTATAGCACCCCAAACCATAACTCCAACAGTGTGATGGACATGTCTTTCAACAAAAAACTGTGGATTCCTCCTTTCACTACATCGCCTTCTAACCATGGCACGACCATCGTGCATGCCTAAACAAAATCGAGACTCGACTGTTCCATTCCTGATCCCAGAGTGACCGTTGTCTGCAACACTCAAGGCGATTACGTCGGTGTTCTCGAGTTAAAGGGAGGACCCAGTATGGCCGGTATGAAAACAAGCCAAAACTTCTCATTCGTCGGTAAACACTTCGCATGCCAATAGGTCTTCCGTGTTCTGCAAACCATTCATTTGCAATGGACCTGGTAGTGGAGAAACGGTCCCTTAAGGTCAATAATCTTAGGCGACGATCTTCACGGTCTGTTGTTCTACGGCGGCGTCCAGTGCCCCTTGCACTTTGAGTACGGCCTTCTCGAAGCCATGCCTGACAACACCTAACCACTTTGCACTCTAACTGCAATTGCCCGAAAAGAAAGTCCCACTATACGGCCCCTATCAAACTCACTAAGTTGACGAAATCGTACCGTTCTCCGTACTCTAGGCATCGTAACCGATCGTAAAGGATGTCAAGAACCAAAATCCGCCAACGTTGATTCTTTACTGCGGCTGAAATATTCATTTTTAGAGCGTTAGTGAATTAAAAAAAGCAGTATAAAAACCGGAATGTCCAACTGATAAGGCTGAAAACTTTTTCACTTGTTATTTACAGTAAGATAAGTACATTCACCAACTTTTATTAAAATAAAACCATTTAAACTTATGTCACTTAGTATATATAACCTGATTTATTAATGGACCAACAGAAAACTTGCTACGTTATTCAACGGATGACCTCTACTCTGTTTTTCAGTGAATGATGGATCTGGTATGAACACATCTCGTCAATAGTGGCTAGCTATTTGTTTACGGCTAAGAAGTATTTTTCTCCAAATCATCTCCTCACTCTGTACAAGGCCTAGATAAGACCCAGTCTCGAATACTGCTCACATGTCTGGCGATCTAGCTCTTTTCTACTGCTATGCTCCTCAGAGCTCTTCTCCCATTCTAATCGTGTCGAACTTCGTACATCCAGAACTGGCCGATACGACCGCTCCTTTGTTCCTAGGGTATCGAGATTGTGAAACGTAATGAGGAGGCTTTTCCTACAAAGTTTCTTAACCTCGTCATAGCTAGCCGCGGTGTTATGGCACTTCTGGCATTTTGCCTGCGCGGCTGCTTCAGTGTAAAAAAAACATGATGATTCAAAAAACAGGATAAACGTTGCTAGAGCAAAAGTACATTCAAAAATAACATCGGTTCCGATGAACATAGATTTTAAAATGTCATTTTATACTACCACAGTACAGGGCCAGTAGAAGCACTCTGGGTGACATTTGTGAGACCACGCCTTTTTTTTCTAAACAACAGGAAATGGTCGTGTGATTCCTCTTTCCTTTCCTTTTCAAATTAATAAATAAATCACTATAAATTAAATATTTTATGATTTTTTTAAAACCGTCCATCCTCTCTGCCGCACCCTGTATAAGGCACGCAAATAAGGCGTTCGCAGAGTAAGTAAAGGGGCGACAATGCATTCGGCTTTTAGATCCTTGTCTATTAAATTCGGTACAAACTCTACTCGATCGGAGTGTCTCTAACCTCGGAAACTTCCCTAGCAATCCGGGAAGTAGTTTCCAGCATATTTCATACCCGAGTGTTTACTAAACTGCTTTGAAATTATCACAGTCAAGGCCATAGCTCTATCGAGGAACTGACAATTTAAAGTGCCGACCATTAAGTCGACGCAGTTGCCCTAATTAGGCCTTGATAAAGGGCAGTGAGTGCATGGCAGATCAAATTGACAAACTCCAGAGCGGTGGTTGCTGTATCGAGGACGGAGTCGTAAATTTGCCGTACAGGGTGGGGCGTAATCATACTGTATGTATGGTGTATCTGAAGTCACTTGAAATAGCATATAAACCTTTGGTCGGCGCGTCCTTTGTAATTTCATGACGTATCATAGGCGTGCGGTCATTTATTTAGAACGATAATAATAATGTTTTTATATCACAATAAATGGATTTTACTATCTTCTTATTTTTTTGATTTGGGATAAAAAATACTTATATTGGGAGTTTAATTTATGTTGACTGAAAGTTAAGAAATGGAAAAATTACAGAATTCCAACGTTTGACATAGGCAAATATTTACATAGCAGGTAGGTATATAAAAAGGTATATAAAGACTTACATTATAGGTATTTATATATCATCCTCATCTTGTAGAGGAATTACAACGGGATTTACAGGAGGCAAAATACAATATTCATTTTCTTTTTCAATAATATGCCTAGAACACTGCTTCCATAGGTCTGTGGCAGCAATATGAGATACTGCATCTCTTATTGTGGCCAATAGCGATTCACTTAATTGAGGGGTCTGATTATGTTTTCTTACTTTTTTTTAAAGCAGCCCAGACCAACTCAATCGGGTTAAAAATGCAGTAATAGGGAGGTAGACGTAATACTTCATGGCCATTTTGCTGAAGCAGATTGTCAACAACATACTCTTTTTCAAATTTCAAATTTTTGTCTTTTAATAAGATCCAATAATATGGCTTTGGTTGATTTTTGTGGTATTTCCATTCCCTTATCCTTCATAAAATCAATAATGTCTTGTTTTTTGTGCCTGTATTCGGAATTTTGTTTTTCTGTCGGGAATGGTATGGCGGATTGTCCATAATAATCACTGAAATTGGGGAAATGTTTGGTATTAACTGCTGCTCTATCCACTTTTCAAATAAGTCGGAGGTCATGTCCTCATGATAGTCGGCACATGATTATTTGATATTTTTGGCAGATAACAGCAAGGCATTAGGTATAAATCCATTTTCACTGCCAGCATGGAGAATAATGATTCGTTTTCCACGGTTGCATGGTGCATTTAAAATGCACTTGTTGCTGTCGTCAACCCAGCCGTACTGCACAACATCATGGGTATCATACCACGTTTCATCCAGGTAAATCAGATTTCTTTTCTGCTCTCTATAGATTTTAACTTTGTGCAAAAATTCTTGACGCAATTCAACGATTCGAGACGACTTCATAATCACCACTCTTTTATCTAATTTTTTGTATTGAAAACCACACAGTTTTACAATACAGTGCAGTGAGTCTAAGCATTTGTAATTATAAAAATCTTCAGGATAATCTTTTAATTTATCCCGTATCGTTTCCAACGTGGGCACCAAATTTTCTTTATAAAATCCGTATATTATACGACGAATATCTTCCTGAAAACCCACGTCTATTCTTTTTAATTTTTGCCCTATGCGCTTTCTGTGAAAGGAATGGTTGACTACATCGCCCCTTTTTATAACCCGATAAATGGTAGACCGATTGATTTTTGTCAGGATACAAATTCTGTTTAAAATTTGATTTTGCGAGGAATCTGGATTTTCGTTTTTCAGACAATCATACATATTTAGGATTACTCTTTGGGTCTGTTCCTCTAAATCTTTATGAAAGAATTCTGCCTGCACAGGTTCATCAACCATCTCATCGTGGCTTGGAGCATTTTCCCAAGGTCTCCAAAGAGCCATATTTAGGACACACAAGAACAATCAACACAACAATTAAATCAACAAGTAAACTGGGTATTCAAAAGTCAAAAACACACAAACTAATAAAATCTATGAAAAAACACGGACAGACTAAAGAAACCACGTTTATTCACCGCTACACGGCACTGGCTAAACTGTTTCAATTTTCAGTAGCCACCTGCACTTGTTCCGAGCTCTGAAATACACGCTTTCTCATTGGCTATGTCCACGCATAGGCGTGCTTTACTCCACGTGGACCGGTGAAACTGCCTTTGATCTTATTGCTGCGAAATTTGGCGATTTTTGCAGCAACAGAGCGTGTTAAATATAGATATACGTATATAAAACGCACCCGGTATTTCACAGTGTT